AATTTTTTTTATTTTATAATTTAAAATAATTTAAACGGTAAAATAACAAATTCTCATACTAAATATAACTATTTAATTGTAACTGGGGTGGGGGTGAAACATATTGACAAGTAGCTACATTAACGGATCAGATAACCACTAAAATGATACGGGTTCTTACTATTGTGTAAAATATTTTCCAGTTCTGTACCTTTTTAACTCTTCTCTTATTTATTATTTTTTGTTTTTATGTATAGAAGTGTATTGAATGCCTTTCTTGGTCCAGATGCGTTTAGCGATCTCCAAACATTTCGCGTTTGGTTTGATTTTTTTATGTTATATATCGTGGTCTACCTTTTTAATCCAATTTGAAAATGGGTTTAAAGCTGATGAAAATATAAACAATGAAATCAACCAACTTTCTACGCTATCCTGTCTTTTAGGCCAGCACTTTTAAAAGTTGAAATTGATGGACGGAAGTGATGGGAGGTAGGACTGGAGAAATTAAATTCCGTTTTATCAGCCCTAAACCTTAAACCTAAGCCTATTATCTACCAAAAACAAAGGGCGGTCCACCTCAATTATCTCAAACTAATAAAAAAAAAGACATTGATTGTAATGTATCAATTTGGTTAAACCCTAATTGGACCTTGAATTATTGTATGGATTTTGATTTGGCTCTAGACTAAAATTTTTTTTGATTTGATTCCTAAATTATTGTAAGGATCACCAATGTGATCCTAATGTTTACTAATTTATCCCAAATTGATCATTTCATACAAAAAAAAAAAATTGATGTGTCTATTACTTAATAGTGATAAATAATAATTTAATGATGAAAAATAATAATTTAATGATCACGTGTTACATTAATAATAAAGTATGTCAGTTAATTTTGTATGAAATGACCAATTTAAGGTAAATTGGTAAATAGTATAGACGAAATCGAGGGTTCGTACAATAATTTAGGAACCAAATCAAGAGTCTGTACAATAATTTATGAACCAAATCAAAAACTTTTTTAGTTCATAACCAAATCAATAATTTGTACAATAATTCAAGGATTAAATTGAAGATTTTTTGGTAGGATTTAGTAGAAGAAAACTTTTTCTTTAAACTTTTTCTTTAAACTTTTTTTTTTTTAACAGAGTGGCTCGAACTTCAAACCCACCCTTTAAACTTTCTCTTTATTTGAAAATTTTAAAGTTATTTACATATTTTTAAAACCTTAATATTACAACAAACAATGGGTATAAATGTTACATTAATCTTTATACTTTTTTCACACTTTTTTGAATGGAAAATTTTTTTTTCTTTTCTTGTATAGGATCTATGTAACAACTTTACCATACCATCCTCTCATATATTAATTTATTATCAAAATATATAAAAGTTAACCTAATAAAGTTTTAACACATTACAAAACTTTTTAATTATTTGTTTTGTATTTTCTCACCCACTTTCCTAGTAAAATCATTTTTAATAAAATTAAGCCCCTTAGAATAAAACCTCTCCAAGCGTATCATGTTGATGGGTGTCATCTGAATTGTGACTGCAGTATAACTAGAAGCTATGATTATGACTACCATTATTTTTTTGAGGGTTATTAAAGTTTTTAAATTTTTATCATAATTTAATGGTTAAAAATAATTAATAAAATAGAATAATTATGTTAAAAAATACTTAATAAAATAATTTATTATTTAACAAATTAAAATAAATTTATAAATAAATATTTTTAAATATTATAACTAACTATTTAAAACAACTACATACTAACAAACTACAGGTAAAATTAGTGTACTTGAAAAAAAAAGAAAAAGAAAAAAAAGGGCTGGTGGTCGAGATAATGATAAACGACACAAGAGTGCAACAGATGCGAAGAACAAAAACACAGGACAAAAGACAACTTCTACAAGAGAAAAACGATCCACCAGACTTAATGTAATATTTTCTACAAAGAGGCCTAAAATAATGTTTTCTTCAATATATATATATATATTGCTGCATAAAGTCACATAAGGTTGAAGGGTAGAGCCCCATGATCCCAAGTCCTATTACTCATAAGATGAAAAATGAACGATATTACAGGGGTTGTGACTTGTGAGATCTCCAGCTGTGAGTGCCTAATGGAAATTTCCATTTCTTGTATCGGAAACAAAACGAAAGAAACATGAAAAAAGACTATAAGATAGTCAACTAATTCGGATGAAAGAATAGTTACAGACGCCATTTAATGATTAAATAAAAGGACTTCTATATTTGTCACCTATTTAGATATATAGTTTTTATTCAGCTGACTACGAAGAAAGACTTCCCGACACCCTCCAGGCATTTAGTTCTTCAGGGAAGGGTTCATGAGAGCGAGAGGAAAAAACCTTAATGAACAAGAACTTACATGTAATGTAATGTCAGCATGTGCAGCTTAATACGGAATTCCCAAAGCATTTTGCTTTGTCTGCTATCTTTCTAACACCAGTGTCGCTGAGAGAGAATCTGGAACTAGCGGGTGAAACATGGTGTCTGTCCAACATATTGATCTTAGGAGCCTCAAGAATGGCCTTGGGTATTGATAGTGCCCATTGCATGCTCCATATTGCAAGTGGCCTCATATATATAAGAGATCGGAAATGCCCATCTATTGTCCATGCCTCAGGAGTCTGGAACCAGTATCTATATGCAAGGGGGAAAACGAGATGTGAACAACATTATTATTAGCTTATTGCATACATAAACACGGTAAATAAATTTTTAAAAAAAATGATTTTTTCAAGTGATAATGCAAGAGAGAAACAACAGAACAATAAGGACCTAATGGGCCAAAAGAAGAAGACCAGTATAACCTCCCCATTCCAGGAATCCCCAAGAAATCTCCAAGCTTGATATCAGAGATTTGAATTTTAGGCAATCTAAAACACATGGGATCATGGGGCTCGCCCCTTCAGCCTCATGTGACTTCAAACCCCCAATGACTTTCAAAACCATGGATCTTGTGGCTGCTTTATAGCAGTTCCATTCTGGTTGTTTGTATCCAACTCTAACCCACAGCAAATCCCCACAATTATAAACTTATTCCTCAACAAAAGTTCAACATCAATAATCCATGGAATGTTTCTCTATATGATCTATTCTCTTTAAACAAAGGGAAGAATATGTCTAAGAATCATACTAAATACTTAACTTCAGAGACCATTTCAGGCATTAACATCTTGGGAAAATGAAATAAAGAAAAACTTTAGTAATTAGTATCCTTCTCAACTTGGCATAACTAACTGCCAGTAGTTTTTTTGTGATAAATATGGTCAAAATAAGTACTGTTGTATGGTAAACATGTAAGCAACTTTTACCATTATTTTTTATGCATATGCATATCACCTACTATCAAAGCACTGAAAGTGTCTCATAAGAAACAACAGCTAGAAACAGCAACAGAAGATGATTTTTATGTAAAATACCTACCCGTATCCCTCCTCTGACCAGCCTGCAATGAATATACCCTCAGCAGCAGTGAATGCCTGTTCCTCCATTCCAGCAAGGATCATATTAGCTGCCACTGCATAAGTGACACCTGTCCATATTTCACGTGACTGCATGCAAGTCTCATCAACCTTTCCATTTGGGTGCATTCCATTAACAGCACCCATCCTGCCTCCTTTAACTTTCATGACATTGAAATCATATATCGTCTGGAGAGCACTTCTTATTTTGAAATCTTCAAAAAGTGGAGGCAAACCTGAAGAAGCCGTGTACCATTCCCCTGCAAGTTGATCTGCTTGTATAGACTTGCTATTACTACTTGACCCACTATCATAATTGAAATAAGAACCATTCCATAGTTTTGCTTCAAATGCTGTTTTTGCACTCAAAAATTTCATTTTGCACTGTTCAGCAAAGAATTTGTCACCTACTTGAACAGCCATTGCTGCTGCAGCTTGGAGTGCAGCAAGCCATAAGCAGCCACAGTAAGCACTTACACCATGAACAGTCCAAGCATCATATGTTTGATCTGGGAACCCATCATTTTCTATGAGGTCATCATTATCTCTATCAAATTGTTCCATGTACTCCATTGCAGTACGAACTGCAGGCCAGACATCAACACCAAATGACATATCCCCTGTTGCAGCAAAATCTCGGTAGACCTGAAGCACAAATTTTGGATTCAGATCCTTCCATTTGCTCGTGTCATGTATGTTATATGCATTCATTTCATTCCAAGGATCATGAGTGCCCAGATCATGAGGTACAGCCCCTCTAACCTTGCGAATTCCCCCATTACCCTCTGCAAGAAACTTTACTTTTCTTCCATCCTCAGACAGGACAGCTTTGGCAAAGTCACGTTGAATATTGAGTTCAATCTTGGGAAAAAGCATAAGAAGAGCAAAGGATGCATAGAAGTGCACATCATATGTGCACCACATGATATATTCTACTCCTTCCAAATACAGAAACCTACCAACATCATCACTATCATCCTGCACATCAAGCAGCTTCAAGGGTTGGATAGAGTGGTTAGTGTTTCCTTTATATCCAATACCAGCAGAACCATTACAGCCACGAGTGGTAGTATGTTCAGAAACTTTACTGCTCCAACAATTCACTTCAGCTTCATTTGCTTTAGCATCTCTGTTTTCTACCGTTGATAGTTGATGTTGATCATTTTTCATGTTTTCTTCTCGTAAAGAAGAGTCTGTACAAAAGAAGATAAAAACCTTAACTAACTTTTATGTGTGCAGAAACCAAAAGCCTATTTTCACTTCTAAAATAAAAATGTGAAAGACTAGGCCAAACATGATTACCAATCCAAACTGTTCCACCTGCAACTAAAAAGTAGAGCTCATTAAACAATGTGAACTTGTACCTGAAAATTATGAAAAAGAATTGTGCATCAGTAATGCAAGGCTAAATAAAATACATATAATGGAACCTTGGTTCGAACAACTGTTACTGTGGTAAAATCTACGAGCATTCTAAAATTTATAGCATCCTGCATGAAGCACTTAGCAACTACAACTGTTTTGAACTTAAGGACCAACAGATATCTGCTCAGGATACTTTTTTGCAGCTGCAGAGGTGATGGCTGAAAATCAAGGGCACAGGAAAAGAACCTTGCTGTTAGAGCTGAAAAAATGAGCCAAGTGAAGCAAACTTTTGTGACTTTGAGCTCAGCTCAAGTAATTTTGGGCAGGGTGGAGTCTCAGCTCGAGCTTGATTTGAGCTTTATTTTCAAGTTGGAGCTCAACACAATTAAACTTTTTAATATTTGAGCTTGGTTCGTAGATGAATAACCTAATCAAGCTCAAATTTGAACTCCCTATCAAACCTAAATTATTATCTTTTTTATTAAAATTTTATAACTTAATGAATCATTAATTGCGATTGATCCTACACAAGATTTTGAGGTTCCAGCCAATGTCTTGTACGTTAAATAAACTCATATCAAGTTTCAAGCCAGAGATAAGCCTAAGTAAACTCAAGCAAGAACTGTTTGTTTAAGGGTCATTTTTTTTGGGGCCTTACTTCCTTAATTTGGAATTCTTTTTATCAGTAGCCATGACCAGAGGGAAGAGAGAAACACAACAAAGCAAGATAAAACCAAAAACGGAAAAAAGAGAAGATACACAGGCAGAGTGCAATTGTAGGTCTTTATCCTAGATATCGGCATAATACAGTGCAAGCCCTTAACACTAGTAACTTAATAAGAGTTATATATAGAATGCATTCTTGAATTAGCACAGAGGAAGGTGCACTTACTTGCAAATTACAGGACATGCTAATGGCTATTTTAAAAGCACAAACAATGTTTTAATATGATTTTAAAGTGAAGAACGCCCAACATCAAAGCAGGAACTAGAAAAGACCATGGTGAAAGCAAAATAGTTGAACTAAATTTACCATTCTGGTAGTCTTTCATCCCTGAGGATAGGACTTTGCCATTTCTCAATCTCTTCTTCCCATCGCTTGTAATCTGATTAATAACACACTGTTATTATCTTTTAGGTTCTGAAGAAAGTGAATGCATTAAGAATTGGGTTACAGCTTACTTAAACTAAAAAGATTAAAAAATTTGAAAACAAATGGGAAAGGTAAAACTTGAAAATAAAATTCAATCAGGACTTTCTATTTTTTAGCCAAGAAAACATAATCCAATCATATACTTGTCAGTGCATCATGAACTAAGTGAAGAGCTGCTCTTTCAGAGGTGCCATAGAATTTAGTATATCTCCTGTAAAAAATAAAAAATAAAAAATAAAAAATAAATAAAAAAGAACTTCAGAAAGATCACTGCACTACATATACTGAGGTACAGAATGTCATGAACTATCTTGAAATCAATATAGAGCACAAGTTTCTACAATGTTTAGGCCAAACAAGGAAAACAAATCAAAATCAATAGCATAGGATTCAGATGTGATATTGAAGATAAAGCCACACAGCCTTTTCTATTACTGTATTCAACCTCCTGTTTTCAGGTGGCATGTATACCCAGGAATGTGTTCTGGAAAGAATATGGTCAATAATGCTTGATATTGAGCAATCATGACACAAAGACCACATAAAGCTTGAAAAGGGGAAACTGAATCAACAATACACAAGGTCAATACAGCAAAGATATAAAGAGAGGGGTAGGGAGCAGAGTTTACCTATGATATGAGCTTCCCTTTAAATATTTTATTTTTGGAGAAGACCAAGCAAGAGAAAAGGCAACAGTACACTTTCCATGAGGTTCTACCCATGCAGAGGCTGAAACCGCTGCACAAACTGCCTCCCCAGGAGATGAAGGCATGCTTCGACCAGCATTGAAATTTGCACGATCAAATTGTCCATCCTGAGAAAAACAGAGGAGTTATTTCTAAATCCAGCCAGGAAAAATTCCTGCTACATCAAGAACATAAGTTCTGTAAGAAGACTATGCACTGTGTGACATTCAGGATCTAAGGAAGTGAGTATGATAATATCCAAGCAAAAACTAAGGTTGCTATTTGAAAGCATGAAGTTCAAGATAGGAGGATTGATCCAATGAAAATTAAATCAAGCAGGCAACCAGCATTTAAAAAACACAACGGAAATTAGATACCAGCATCATCAAACTCCACATTTCCTTCGCTGTTACGTGACTTCCTTCGGACAGTCCAAAACATGGAAGGACAGTCACGCTTACATTCTGGGTCTCACATGCAGCAACTGCAAAAGTAACAGGAGGGTTCCCTTTTGCTGTCCTGTAATGTAGCCATAAACTTTCAATTTTAGTCACTAAGTTGGCAATCTCACCAGATTGAGCAAAACGCTAACATTAACAATGAAGATTACTGAATACTGATATTACATAAAATTATAGTACAGACATGAATTATGTCATCACTGAGCAAATGTATTTTAGGTAGGTAAGAAATATAAAATATTAATGTGGACACCAAACTCAAGAATGGCTCAAAACTCAGCAAATCAGATCCATCAAAATATCACAATGCCAATTCAAAGAAAGGAAATTTTCAAGGAAAAAGAAAGGATGAAACTTGTACAGTTGCCCATTATTCCTTAATAAATATAATATGCAACACAACACAAGATAAACAAATACTCAGCCAAATATGGTATGGGCACTTAAAAAATTAGCTAAGGGTTCCTGAAGCCCAGAAAAACTAAATTTGGAGGAATAAAGAAGAGACAAAGGCCCATATATAGGTTAAAATTCTGACACTCTATATTACAGTTCTTTGTCTTTTCATTCCCAAAATTAAGAGGGAAAAATAGCACTTTCAAAAGTTTAGCACAATTTTCTAGCCATGCAACTTTGACCACATTTTTTATGTTAAATAAACTATTAACAAAAGAAAAAAAAACAGCTATTGGTCCAAGAATGTCTAAACAGCCCCTCTCTCACTACATGCCCCTTTCTCTAGGCATCCCAGAATAAGGGTGATGTTCCTACAGGGAACTTAAAATAAAAGATTAAAAAAATATAAATAAATAAAAATTAAAATTAAAATTAAAAATTATTTTTAAAAGAAAAACCCACTAAACTCTAATGCTGAACAAAACCTCAAAACTTCAATGTAATGTTAAATTTTAAATCAAAATGTAGAAAATGCTTATCTAAAGCTACATTCCTGTCAAACAAGATTCTTATAGCCATATGATGGAGGTACATCTTTTCATTATTTTTTTTTTTTGGTTAATTTCATTTATACTTGATATCTGCCAATAATGTAATTTGCCACAAAAGAGCTTATGCTAGGCCCCATTCGTTGCCCTTCTCTCATTTCTTTTTTTCAACTTTTCATTTCCTCCCCAGGGATGGAGCAGTATGGTTAATGCGTTGACCTTTACACAATGAAATGGCTAAGAGAAATCTGCAAACCAACCATCATATATAGCTAGTAAAGTTTGATGACTTGCTTGTGATGTAGAAGTACACCAGAGACCCCATCTTCGCCTCTATCAAATAAAAGAAAAAAATTTAAAATACATTCCAAGAACATGATTAAAATACAGGAAAGAAACTGTAGCAAATGTACTCACATGAATGGTTCATTCACATGATCTCCTGACAAATGAGAAATTCCTCCAATGGAATTCTGCAGTTAAATTACCATGATTACCAACCAAACATTCGGGGATTTATTGCATTATTGCATGAGACAGCAAAACACAGATCCAGCTAGAGCAGATAAACTTACCGCCCATGTAAAGAGAAGACTGACTTTTGCCCTTTCTTTCCCAGTATTCACCAACTACAATGAAACAAGTTATAAGTCAAAGTTAATTTTTGAGAGAATCTCATAAGCTTTTTCTCTGAAAATGAGCAGCAAATTTGTAATAAAAAAGAACAACTTGTGTGATAAAACTTTTATTGCATTTATCCAAACAAGAAACAGATATTCTGACATGATTTATCCCATAAAATAAACAGAATGGCAAGCTGCACCAGATATCTTAAATTGAGAAGTAATCAACACCTCTCCATTAGTTAATTAACTTGGTTTTACTTCGTATAAAACTCATTTTGATTCAGAACTACAAGTAATGCAGGTTTGCCTAACTAAAAGTAGGCTTTAGTTTCATTCTATTTTTCATCTGCATGATTTTCCTTTATTAGAAATCTCAACACAATAGAAAAGGCATTGAGTTAAAACAATTCAAGATTAGCTACATTTTCCAGTAACCATTATAATGGCCACATAATAATCAGGTCACCTGTGTTAATTAAAAGCTTGACATACAAAAAGATAAAGCAAAGACATAAACGTAATCTACATGTTACTATGCAGTCAATTCTGCCATCTTTGGGCTCCAATTTAGACTAACATTCAAGTTAAGAAGGAAAATCACATATACAATAAAATATCACAGTTACAGCTACATCAACATATCAAAGAAATGAAATGACTCCAAAGTATGTGGCTGGTTACTAGTTTGTACCAAAATCAAGCCATTTCAATATACTCCTTAGAAATTGAACAAGCATACCGTGTATACAAAAACAGCTGCAGGAAGACTACTATCCTTATAATTATGTGGTATGAATGGTGATATCTGTCGACAAGACACTTTCAAGTCGGGGTCTGGCTCACCTGAATATTGAAGAAGGGCCATCTTAAAGAAGATTTCAGGAAAAAAAAAAATGAGAACATAAGCAGAAAAGGATATATAACAGAATGATACCATCATAAATTGTCCATGCCCTTGGAAACAAAGCATGGTATGTGGAATGTTGGCCGCTCAGATTCCAACCCCACGATGAGATACCATGATCATTAGCTTTCCTGTGAGATCATAGGACTATTATCAGGATGACAAGTTCCACCATCTCAAATAATTGATTTCATACATTTCAAACCCCAAAAGGGATATGAAAAGCTGCAAAGTTGTTACAAACATGTTTTTCTCCTCTAGTTCAATATTCATAATCATCAAAGACCTCCAATCGTGCAAGTACACGTTAAATGCAGTCATTTTTTAGAGATAGTAAGATACCAAAATATGAGATGAATAACAAGGGAAAGAATGAAATAATCCTTTTTTGCACAATAGAAAGATTAATGTTTGATTCCCAGTTGCAAGGATTCTATTAGAATGTCAAGTTGCCCCATCGAACTTATACATCAACCACTCATACTAAAAATATTAATATCAAGTTGATGAATATGTCATTCAAAATAATGCATTCAATTGTCTTAAGTCTCCTTTCTTACCCTAACCCTTCATGCTGTCCTGGAGCCAGAACAGATGCATACTTCTTGTTCCCACCATCACGAGTTATAAATATCTGCAACATCAGGGTGAATCAGGATGGAAGTGAATTTACATTTTGAAATTTCTTGCATCTAATGAGTTTGTTCTTTTCTTCTTCAAGAGCAGTGGGTGGAAATTTGTTGGTTTACAGGAATTAAATCTTGAGGAATCCATCCACAATCTGCTAAGCCAATAATAATGAAAAGGAAATAACAGCAGAGCAACATCAATCTTTCTTAAATAATAGCACACCAAACATTCACCACTCCGCAAAAGGCTGTTTTTTGAATTTTTTGGATTTAACTTTGCTCAAAAGCACTGTTAAAACCGTTTTCCAAACCACCTTATTCAGTTTACTACTTTACATTGTTTTGATTTGAAGACTCTATTAGAAATAATCAATTGACAACTCATATGGAAAGTTCAATTTAAGCCAACACTAGAACATAAAATGTCTTGGAAAAAGGAAACAGAATAGAGAAAATCAGTTAGTTGAAGAGTAGAGCTTTACAGAAAACTGGTTAGCCATAACAGGTGAAGCATCACATGTGCCAGGAGTAATTTGAAATTGCCTGAACTCGCCTCTAAAACCTCTGGATATACTTCCACTCCTGTGAAATATGCATAGACATCTAAGTATCTAACACAATGAGATGAAATTAATATTGTGGCACCTGAACCACAAAGTTACCCACAATACATACCCCATTCCTCCTACAGGAACCCCTTGAGATGCGGACGGCTTGCATTTTTCTCGAGTGAAAGGGTCAATAGGTGCTTTCTGCACACAATCATTGTACAACATTACTCGTTACCACATGCTAGTACTCTGAATAAAATTAATCAGTAACTTAATACCTATTCACAACAACAAAAATTCAAATAACCATCATATAATGAAAGTGAAAAACTTAAATTACCCTTCCATGAGATGCCTCTTTCCTGACATAAGACCACAGACGTATACCCAATGTAACCTAAATATTCAAACTCCGTCAATGATCAAGTGATGAAAACCGTAGCAGGGGATAAAATGCTTTAACATACATAGGAAACTGTTCAAGGATCACCATACATACAGGATTTAAAGAACATATCACTTACCATTTTAATTGCTTCCTTAAATGTGACGCTAAATTCTTTAAGAATATTAGCATGGCTGTTTAATCTCCTTCTCCAAGCTTGTTCCGGTGGGGCAGCACTATCAAAATCGAACTAAAGCGCACGGGGAAAAAGTTAGCATGGGGAAAAAGTGTTCAGCTAAAGTAGAAACCAAATCACGAAAATTATCCAATAAAGTTAGCACGGCTGATACGGAACACTTAAATGCGATGCAAATCTTGACCCTTCTATAATGGATAATTATCCAAGAAATTTACAACTATCAAATTTGAAACACGAACAAACTTACTCTATTGAATCAAGAAGTTTTTAATTTTTAGAGCTATTCCAAATGTAGCATTTTCTCAGCAGCCAAACAGAACCAAAAGAGGAACGAAATGCTTACCAATTGCAAAGTAGCTCTGCTGATATACTCCTCAGGCGGCCATGAATTCTTTCTACAATGAAATATATTCCCGGTCACCATGTCTACTGGTTTAATTCAGTTCAAGTCAACACCAGAAATCCAAATCTCCCAAACAAGTATGTATCCGAACCCCCAAAAAAAAAAAAAAAAATCTCCCCAAAGACTCTACGGAAAACAAAACAAAACTTAGATTCAGCTCCAAACAACAAAAAGAAGTGTGGAGCAGAAGGTAAGCAAACTTCACATCAAGAGACGCAGAACCAGAAACCGCCTCTTCCTTGCCTTCAAAGATCTTCAGCTCTCAATGTCAACCAAAAACCAAAACCAAAGCCAAAAGCAAGACGAAATCAGAGAGACGAAGATCGGTATCGGATTCCTGCCTCGGCGAATTAGATTTAGAATCGCGACGGAGACATTAATTGAATGATTGGGCGAAAAAGCGATGAAATCAAGGGAGGAGGGCGCGGTGGTGGCTTGGCGAACGGAGGACTCAGGTTCCGGGATCAGCGTAGCGCTCCCGCCTCTAACCTTTTTCCCTCTCCTCGGATTTGCTAGTGAAATAATGGGAAATCGGTGAAAAAACGAAGCTTTTACGTTAACTGTTTGCGTCACTGCCTGTGTGCTGGGTCCCACTGTGTCCTCTTTTTCCTTCTCGTCTCCGTAGACCCATAGGTTTTATTTTTAAAATTTTTTAGCCTACATTTTTTGAAAATATTTACCATAGTGGACCATTTTTATATACGCATTGTTGTGGTGTATAATATTATAATCGAAAAATGATTTTGAAATAATTATTTTATATTATTATTTTTATAGTTGAACATGTTTGATTAGTTTTTTAATTTATATAGGATTTATGATATTAAATATATTTATTT